TGGACTATCCACAGATATATAAAATCAATTTTCCTAGTTTCCAACAGACCTCACAACCTCTAAGTTTGCCTGGCATAGATGCAGGTGAAACGTCAGGAGAGAATGCTTCTGGAACATGGCCATACAGCCCGAAAAATCTACAACAACCCAGGGTTTTTTTTACGGTTTAAAGATTAAATTTTTGTAGTGTCCTTCCTCGTTCTCCCCACTGGAAAGGGGCTCCTGCTTTTTGGAAGTATTTTGGTTTCTTTGCCCCTACAAAAACATATACAAGTTGTTAGAAATCCAATTTCTAGTTCCAATAAGAGCAGACTCACTGAATTAATTTCTAAATTACATTTCATTGATTTGATGGGTTTACTTTAGTTCAAGTTAACATTGTATTTAGGCTTTCCTTTGTTCTTCCTGTTTTATGATGCTTTTACATAATTTGGAGACAACAAAGGCAAACTGAAATATTACAAATCGCTTAACAGATAGTGATCTTATTCAGAAGACTATAGTCCAAGAAACATTCAAAGCGGCATGGCTTTAGTTCAGCTCAGATGGCTCTGCAGCGTCAGTGAGCCCGTGATCCTTGGCTCAATACCCAGCTAGACCCAAATGCACTGAATCATTCTCAGGTGATTTTCCATTTTAGCAACCCACTAAACCACAGGTAGGAGAGGCAGGCTTAATAAAATATTGCAGGAAATTTCCACCCCAAGGAGAAGCATACGGTTGGTTAGAAGAATACGCCCATTTCTTCTTCCCTTTCATGGTGTGATTCTCTTCTGATTCATTTGCTTGTTCTTTCACATCTCAGTGGAAATTTAATGCAAAAGAGAAACTACAGGAAGTATGCAGTTCCTCTCTTGCATTATCATATGAAATTATTACTCAAAAGCAGAGCAGTTATATTAATTATAAGCCCATCTGCACTGTAGAATTAATGCAGTTTGATACCACTTTAACTGTCATGGCTCAATGCAATGGAATAATAGGAGTTGTCACTATATATGGTCTTTAGCCTCATCTGCTAATGAGTGCTGGTGCCTCACCGAAATTCCATAGCATTGAGCAATGGCAGTTAAAGTGATGTCAAACTGCATTAATTCTACAGTGCAGATGAACCCTTTCACAGTAGTGATTAAAAATAAAAGGTATTTATTTTATTATTTATTTGCGGTATTTGTATACTGCCCTTCTCAACCCCAAAGGGGACTCAGGGCGGTTCACAGTGTTGGCAACAATTCAATGCCATTGATTTTTTTAAAAAAGTATAAAACATCAAAATTGACCCTCCCCTAATAAAATATTAATCATTATTAACCAYATCACATAAAATTATTTTTTTATTTATTTACTATGTTTATATCCCGCCTTTCTTGACCCCAAAGGGGACTCAAGGCGGCTCACAGCAGAGGCAAAATTCAATGCCTTAAACAATTCAACCATTAAATAAACATTCAATTAAAAATTAATGAGGTTAAAAGCAATTAAAACATAAACATTACCACTTATAGCTATAAAATCACATTATCCACAATCAAGGTCAAGCCATTCCAGTGATAGTTACACATTGATCCAAATCCATCTATTGCACTGTATCAGTTGCTAAAGGCTTGATCCCAAAGCCATGTTTCACTTTTTATCTGGTCAGGAGGGGAGGGGCTGATCTAATATCACTGGGGAGGGAGTTCCACAGCTGAGGAGTCACCACTGAAAAGGCCCTGTCTCTCATCCCCACCAACAGAAGGAGGTGGGACCGAGAGCAGGGCCTTTCCAGATGATCTCAATCTCAGAAATGGTTCATAGGGGGTGATACTTTCAGACAGGTAAAATAACATCACTTATCACATAAAGACATAGCCATTGTCTGTAAACAGACCTGGGTCATTGCACTTTCAACTTTCACTTCAACTTTAAATATTCTTATGATGGGCCAAACACTTGGTTCCACAGCCAGGTCTTTAGCTGTCTCCTAAAGGTCAAGAGAGAGGGGGCGACCTGATCTCACTCGGGAGGGGGTTCCACAGCCGTGGGACCACCACCGAGAAGGCCCTGTCCCTCGTCCTCATCAGCCGCACCTGTGATGCCAATGGGGATGAGAGCAGGAACTCCCTGGAAGATCATAATCTACGAGCTAGTTCATAGAGGGAAATACGCTGGACTAGATCCATTTGAGGCTTTATATACTAAAGCCAGCACTTTGAATTATGCTAGGTAGCTAATAGGCAGCCAGTGGAGTTGCCGCAACAGAGGGGTTGTATGCTCCCTGTGCAACACCCCAGTTAACAACATGGCTGCAGCACATTGGACTATTTGCAGCTTCCGAACAATCTCCGAAGGCAACCCCATGTAGAGTGTTTTGCAGTAGTCTAAACAGGATGTAACAAGACTACCATAGCCAGGTCAGATTTCCCAAAATATGGGCGCTGGGACTCTCCATGTTTACTAATGAATTGTGACAACGTTAATGTAGTACCAGTAAGAATTAATTGACTTAAAATTGAAAATTACATTCAAAAATAGACTGCTTTTGTTACTCAATCTTGTATAACCCCAGTAGAAGATATTGGGTTGCTGAGAATCTTCTGCTACTCAACAACAGTCTACCTAGAATCTCTTTCCCTCTGTTACACCTATATTTACTTACACACATACACACTTGAAATGGGCAAACTGTACTAACTGCTTGGAACATTAAATCAAAGGCAATATATACCTCTCAGTCCCTACAGAAAAGGTGTGGAAGGCTAGGTTTCTTGCTTTATCTAAGTATTTCCTTAAGTTAAGATGTACATGACTAGTAAAAACAAGCAATACTGGTTAGTCAGCACATTATGGGAACCGCTGATCCCCTGTACAGACAGGTTTACCAGAAGTATTTTCCCCACTTGACTTACCTTTGGTTAACAGGAAGCAGTTGTTCTGAGTTTCCACAGAGGTTAGTAGTTTCAAAAGATCTTCCACTGGTCAGTCAACACTAAGGAAAATAGTTATCTGATCCGACGGCATGTTTCCGACAGATTGTACTGTGCTAATGCGGGATGTTCTAAGAAGAAGAGACACTGGAAATGAGAAGATGGTGCTTCCAGCAATCAAGTATATAGATGGATGTTTCTGAAGCCTGAGGAAATCAAGCTTGACTTTCCTCAACCTTGGAGGAGGTGCAAGATTGATAATTAAAGGTAAAACTGAATATGCTGTTCATCCTTTTTGAACAGGTATGGGCAAACTCTGGGCCTCCAGGTGTTTTGGACTTCAACTCCCACAATTCCTAACAGCCGATAGGCTGTTAGGAATTGTGGGAGTTGAAGTCCAAAACACCTGGAGGGCCAAAGTTTGCCCATACCTGCTTTAGAAGCTCTGAAGGAACAGGAAAGGTGCTTTCCTTACCCTTTTCCACCTGTCTAGCAGATATAGCTTTACCTTCAATGTAAATGCCTTTAGTGTTTTAGTTGGATGAGCCTTCAGTTTTGGATTTATTTTGAGCTAGCTTGGTTAGGTATTTTGTAATGTTGCTTATTAGAAATAGCCATAGTTTGGTTTTGAAGAATTTAAATTAAAACTACGTAATCGTATAATGGAAACACTTACAAAATCATACAGCTGATAGGGTGCAACCTGGTCAGGTTGAAACTCTCATTAGGTTCAAATCTGGCTGGCTCCTATTGCCCCCAGTTCTGGTGCGTTGCCATTCCCATCAGCCCCAGATTGGCCCAGTGCTGAACTCCCATTAGCGTTAGATCCAGGTGGCTGGAAGTTAAGGGCCTTGTTTCATTTTCTTTTCTTTTGGAGGTGCATGCTCTATGGGGGTCCGTTTTGTAGGAATTCTGCAGCCACCACACTTGATAAAAGATGCACAACAAATATTCACCAGGCTCACGCACAAAGCATGAATTTCTTTCTCCCTCAGGTGCTGACCACACCTGGCTGATTGAGGTCTTCTTGAGTGGCTTCTTGTCTTTGCAGCTGGCTCATTCCTCCTCATTCTTCATCACCTGGTTGGCTTCTCTCACCTGCTCACAGTAGTTGTGCTTTGCTTTTGCCCCTTGGGAATTTTTTTTTTGAGGCAGTCTCCTCGCTTGATAAAAGAGGCACAATTATTCACCACACTGAAACACAAATCTTTCTCCCTCAGGTGCTGACTACACCTGGCTGAGGGAGGTTGCACTCCAGTGAGCACCACACCTGAAACTCCCATTAGCCCAAAAACTGGTCAAATTGAAGTTTATTTTATTAGTTATTTACAGTATTTCTATACCACTTTTCTCACCCCTAGGGGGACTCAAAATTCCCATCAGTCCCAGATCTAGCTGGCTGCAGCTCCCATCATTCTCAGATATGAGGTGCTGCAGCTCCCAACAGGTATTTGTGAACTGGCTTTTAACTGTGAACTGTCTCTTTATAGGTTCCTCCTCTCCACCCCAGCTCACTTGAAACATGCTGGGCCTCACTGTTTGCTTTACATATAAAGGTTAAAGGTTTTCCCCTGACATTTAGTTGAGTCGTGCCTGACTCTAGAGCAGGGGTCCTCAAACGTTTTAAACAGAGGGCCAGGTCACAGTCCCTGAAACTGTTGGAGGGCCAGATTATAATTTGAAAAAAACATGAACAAATGATTATGCACACTGCACATATCTTATTTGAAGTGCAAAAACACTTTAAAACAATACAATAATTAGAATTATGAACAATATTAACAAATATAAACTTATTAGTATTTCAATGGGAAGTGTGGACCTGCTTTTGGCTGATGCGATAGGGTTGTTGTTGTTTTTGTGTGCTTTCAAGTCGTTTCAGACTTAGGTTGACCCTGAGCGAGGGCCAGGTAAATGACCTCAGGCCTTAGTTTGAGGACCCCTGCTCTAAGGGTTGGTGCTCATCTGCATTTCTAAGCCAAGGAGCCGGCGTTGTCCATAGACACCTCCAAGTTCATGAGGCTGGCATGACTGCATGGAGGGCCATTACCTTCCCAGCGGAGCTATTGATCTACTCACATTTGCATGTTTTCAAACTGCTAGGTTGGCAAAAGCTGGAGCTGACAGCAGGAGCTCACACCGCTCCCCAGATTCGAACCCACGACCTTCGGTCAACAAGTTCAGCAGTTCAGTGGTTTAACCCACTGCCCCACCGGGGGCTCTGATCCAAAAGAGCATCACATATAAACACATTCTGCTGTTCAGAACACCAGTAAAATGTTATTTACACATGGATACTGAACCTGTTCGATAAAAAAAATATTTGAATGTTATATATGTTTCTAAAGATGAAATATTGTAGAACTAGGTTTAAAGTCTCCATATGTTTTCTTATTACTATTAGGGGGTGTACAGAAGTTGATTGTAAATGATATGATTATAACTGTATTTGTGTTTGCACTGGTTGCCCTAATGCTGGAGCGGCCTAGCTGTGAGGAGTGTGTTACCATGGAAACGATGCTGTAGAGAAGTGGGAGGAGCTTAGAGAGGAGAGTTTTGAAAAGCGACAGTTAAAGTCAGTTAGGGTTTAGGCTCAGAGGAATGAAGAGTTGGGGTTTAGGCTCAGAGGAATGAAGAGTCAGGTTTTAGGCTCAGGGAAATGAAGTGTTGAGAGAGAGAGTGGGAAGTAGAGAAGCAGTGTTTGTGAATAGTCAGAGGTTTCTTCAGTTTAGGAAGGCTGAAGGGGAAACCTTATTAGTTTCATTAGTTAGAGAAGAACTAACAGAGGCTTGTTTAGATCACTAGTTAAAAGAACTAGAGATCTGGTGTTTGATCACAGAAGAATCAAACAGGGAGACTATTCACCACAGAAAACATTGTTTAATAAAGTGCTTCACCACAGCAAGAGTTTTATAAGTTGTAACATCGGAAGTCTGAACTGTATCGCAACCAAGTTATATGTAACGTTCTCCAAGTATCTTCCAAGTTTATCACCAAACTGCAACCATACGCTTTGTTTCAAAATAAACTTGTTCTCTTTGATTTTAAGACTGCCTCATCTCCATTAATTCTGCGTTCAGTGTGCCCAATCTCCCAAAATTACCTCACATCACAAATTGGTGGCACCATTAAGAATAAAATAATAAATCGTAACTTCTCTCTCCTGAAACCCTTTTCTTTGAATTGGGGCAAGCCCTTTGCAGGGGGGAATTCATTTTCCAACAGTTCATGGAATCCAGCAGCAGCATCAATGCCTGCACGTCAGGGTCCCAAAATGTACTCAGGACAGGTGATCAAGACCAGGTGTTACATTGCCCACACTGGGCCAAGCATTCATATTATTCTGTTTACAGTGTTATTTTATATATATATATATATATAGAGGCAGTCTCCAAGTTACAAACAAGATAGGTTCTGTAGGTTTGTTCTTAAGTTGAATTTATATATCAGTCAGAACAGATACATTTTCAATTGTAACTCCAGGCTATATAGCATAGGGAAGGGTTAACACCTCTGTGGTGTTTGTTTTGCTGTCTGTACTCCTGTTCAGAAGATTTCACCTCACTTTTTGTCCTATGAGAATTGGAATTTTGAAAAATGTAGCTTTTTGTGGAATCAAGACTTGGTGATAACGCTCCAATGGAGATGCCTTTCACTGAAATCTCTTCCAGTAGTGAATCTCCCTCAAGGGGTAGATTTCTCCCACTTCCTGTTGTCTCGTCCCCATCCTTAACTATGAGTCACTTGTAAGTCAGATGTTTGTAACTCATGAACTGCCTGTATAGTCCACATATAATATGTGGCAGCCATTCATTAGGCTTCAGAGCAGAGGGAGAAAAGAGACGTCCCATTACCTTTTTGGTCCTTTTCATCTAATTTACAGCTGTTCCATTAAATCAGTGGTTCCCAAACTGTGGTCTGTGGACCACCGGTGGTCCACAAGAACTAAAATATGGTCCGCGGCCTCACCATTACTACACCATTGCAACGAGAGCAACTAGTCTTGCAAAACCCTCCCCAGTGTCAAGGCAATGGGGATGTTGGGAAGGAGAGGCTGACTACCTATGAAGCCTCCCTATCTATCCATGCTTTCCCCCTTGGGTTACATCATTTTAACTTCTGAGAATGCGACTGTATTGCCATTGTTCTTTGTAGCCACTATGAGAACCTTTTTGGCTGAAGAGCAAGGGAAAAACATCCTTTCATAATTTATCCAATTCTTGACTTGACACTATTTTGATTTTTCAGTTCCCACAAATATTCTTATGGAAATTTGGTTAGAATCTTTGAACATCTCATCGTCAGCTAAAACAAAATAGTCATTTTAAGCTATCTGCTCTTTTCCGCACAGTAATTTCCCACGCTTGTTATCTCCTCCATAACAATTGTAAACAATAACCTTTCTTCTTGAGTCTGGACCACAAAGTGAAATGAAAAATACTCCCTGTTTAAGCAGAGGTTTCAAGTGTTTTGGTACAATTTATTCTGATGCTCGATGCACGATTTTTGTGCTTTGCAGATTAAAAAAAAAGCCAAGGAATAAGGGAAGGTACTTTTTATTTCTTTAAATATTAGTAACACTGCATGACACACTTCAGTGGTATTTATGTAACAAAAAGAAAGAACGGTTGTGCACCTTACTTCAGACATATTGTATTTTAAATACCCAAATGATTTGCATTCAGATTACATTTTCATTATACAAGCATTACAGACGAATCCCAGTAAGTACCTCAAAATCTTCTTGCATTACCATCTCCCACACCTAAGCTATATTATTCGGTCCTGATTAAAGATTTCTCCAGGAAATTTGGAATTTCAAATGGGCCAAGGAGAATGCCACATAATTCATTGGCAAAAGACGAAAAAGAAGAAGAAAACTCTTGAGGACCAAAGCAGCTGACAACTTCAGTGCATGGATTTAGCAGCAAGAAGGCAACTTACTTATAGAGGAACCATGCTAGGAAGAAGTTAAAAGCAATGGAAAGCTCCAACTTAGTATTTAGTTATGAGGTTAACTGAAGCTACGTACCATGCGGATTAAACGCTTCGGTAGAGGGGAATGAAGTTATCTTGCTATATTCAAATCCTTACTTTTCCAAGTGTGCACATGTCTTCGTCCCCCGATTTAGCCCAAACGAGAATCAGCACGTATTGTGTATATCTAATGAACAAAATCAGCAGAACAGATCTAGGAATAGAAGGCCTCAGCTCTTTCTGGCAAGTCAAGACTCAACTTGCGCTTCAAATGTTAGACAAGGTGAAACTGGGAGGCCAATTTGGTATTGTGACTCTTAGCGTTAATGGAAGCAGTCTGCTATTTCAAAAATGCAGCTGTCATCATTTGTGTTCTAGGGATCATAAAGGATGAAACAGGACCAATTTTGTAAAGCGGTTCATTCGGATTTGTTCTTTCACTCCATTATAGGGCAATAGTACATAAATAAGGTTACTTGTAGCCAAGGGAAATCCAATAGAGAAAACCAGCCAGGGTTGCTCAGGTGTTCCTAAAACTCTGAGCTTTTTTCCAGGGGACATTTAAATGAGAAATGCAGTACTGTTAAATGTAGGTTAACCCAAAACAACAGAATACGCCTCGATCAAAATGGTCATTTCAAAAACTAAAGACATTCTTTACAACTTCATTTAGTCTGAAAAGAAACACACTAAACTACAGTAGCTTGACCCTCTCGTAAAAGAAGAGTTCAAAAGATTCCACATTACAATTTCTGAACTTCAAAAAAAAAATACACATTTCTAGCCCCGAAATCTACTTATGTGACGTATGGAACATCCTGATCCTAAACTCCCACTCAGAAGTCACACCCACTGATTCCAATGGAAATGATCTCTACAGAGCAGGCTTCCGACTGGGTGTCTTACAGAAACATAAGCAAATCTGCGTGATGCTCAAGCATAATAGTGCAAGTTCAGTGTAACTTTAACCAAGAGTCTCTCTCTTGCTACGTGAGAACAGCTATACGAAAGATATACACCAGGAATCTGGGGAGGGGTCAATTGGTACGGGGGGGGCATCCTGTTTTGGGGCATCGGAGTCCATTTTAATAGGGTGTCTTGGCCGTCTTCTTCTTCTTCTGCTCCTCTCTCATCTTCTGCTTCTTCCTCTTGCTGACTTCTTTGTGTCCTGAGGAGACATGGCTTGTAAAACATTGTTCATACAGCAGATTCCCCTTCATTAAAGCAGATGTATCCCACGTTCGCTTAATGTGAGGCAGGTCTAAGGAAGCATAGGCACATTGCTTTCAGCATTGCTCTTCAACCTACGGCCCTCCAGGTGTTTTGGACTTCCGTTCCCAGAATTCTTGACCCTTGAACATCAGGCTAGGGCAGGTATGGGCAAAATTCAGCCCTCCAGGTATTTTGGATTTCAACTCCCACAATTCCTAACAGCCAGTAGGGCCGAAGTTTGCCCATGCCTGGCCTAGGATTTCTGGGAGTTGGAAGCCCAAACAGCTGGAGAGCCGCAGACTGAAGAGGCCTGCTTGGAGCAAATTTAAATATCTCCCTTATCATTCATTCTTAATTTATGGTGCACCACATTGGCTTTTCCACATGGCAGCCACTAATACAGTGGTTCTCAACCTGTGGGTCCCCAGCTGTTTTGGCCTTCAGCTCCCAGAAATCCTAACAGCTGATAAACTGGCTGGGATTTCTAGGAGTTGTAGGCCAAAACACCTGCAGACCCACAGGTTGAGAACCACTGCACTAATAGAAGACTTTCGAAGCTCCTAACTGTATTGAGGTTTCCAGCCTTCCTGTTAGAAAAGTCCTACCAACTATTTGGAGTACAGCTCTCTATCACATCTAGCTCATGGAGATCTTCCATGTCATGTAGTTGTTGGTTAGTCTTATCCTAAAGTCCTATGTCAGACTTTATATTCTTTTGAGTATTTCCAGAATGTAAACCTTTCTGCTTCTGTTAGATCTCGGATCTCAGAAACTATTCCCCATGGATTTTGCTCCCTCCTTTCATCTGTGAGCTACTCAGTCCTAGTTCAGGGCACGGCTGCAAATGATTTTTGGAGATTTGAAAACATTTGTTTAAAAGCCCTTCTCTGGTTAATTCAATTTAACTGTTACCGCCAGTTTTATTAAAGCTCCTTTAAGATGATCACCCACACACTCTTGATTTCTAAAAGATATCTCTTTGAAGCTGTCAAGAAACTATTCTCAGGATGTCAAGCCATTCTGAATTACTCCCTTTTCCAATAAAATGACTAAAACATGAGATGCAAGCATCTCTCTGTACATGCTTGTGCATAAATAGTTGTATGTGAGATACCCATAAGTGGTCCTAAACAGTATTTGTTATTGTATAATATGGTGTGTATATATATGTGTGTGTGTGTTGTAAATGTAGTGCATGGTATAAGTCTTTTAAGCAATAATATTCCAAGCATTATGTGTCCAGACTGAACTGGATGTCAGGTTAACCTATAACTCATGTGCTATAGCATATTCATAGCAGTTTAAGCTGAATCTAGTTTTGTGCCAATCAATGGTCAATACTCCATTTGGGGGAAGCAACTGTACTTGCAAAGTTATTGTTTTTTACCAATTAGCTACGCCTTACTACATGCCATCAAGCATTATGTTTTCTTGCATTCAAGAGTGAAACAATCTGCTATGTTCTCAAAGTAATAATTTAAGTTTTGGTCCCCTAAAAAATAAAGAAGCTGTTCGAGTCATTCCTTCAGGATCCGAGCCACCCAATTCTGTCAGTCACCCAATAAGGGAAGTCAATTTGTAAGGTAGTACATTTATCACAGGTAGAATGTCAGCCATCACAGCTACAGCTGTCACTAAATAAGAAGATGTGATGCTATTAAGAGGCTTCAGGGACTGAATGATAGAGCAAAACCTCTACATCATGGTTCAAAAGGATAATCAGGATTCAAGAGCCTTCTAAAGTAGGTCACCCAAACTACTAGCAGAGATAACAATGTAATAACAGTTTCTCTTCTGTGTATAAGGCTGGAAGTGACAGTTCGTCCTCGCAAGGAAGGCAAAACTTCACAGATATTTGTCTCAATGAAGGGTAAGGAACCCACCTGGGCAAGCAGCACTGGAGTTCTGTGCCATGAAGATAAAATATATGTAATGCTGCCTCATATGGAATCAGACCATCAGCTCATCTTGGCCAACACTGACTATTAGTGTTATATACATCTTTCCTGACAGGCAGGCCCGTAGCCAGGATTTTGATTTTGGGGGGGGGGGGTTGAGTTTGATTTGGGGGGGGGCTGAATTTGATTGGGGGGGGCTGAGGATCTACCCTAGCAAACCTTTTGTATCATTATCCCAATATCCCCATGCGTATGGGATATATTTGAATATGGTGATCAGATAATGATATAAATAAACATAACAGTTTAAATAATGTAACAGTAGGGCCTTCTCATGGACCACCCTGAGAATTTTGGGGGGGGGGGGGCTGAAGCCCCTCAAGCCCTCCTCTGCTACATGCCTGCTGACAGGTGTTTTAACTGAACAGACCAGGCACTGAATCACAATCTCTGGATCAAGCCTGCACAACTTGTGGCCCTCCAAGTGTTTGGGTCTTCAATTCCTAGAAGCCCTAGCCAGCTTGTTCAATGTTCAGGAATTCTGGGAACTGAAGTCCAAAATACCTGGAGGGCCACAGGCTGAGTAGGCCTGCCCAGTCTCTCCAGAAAAGCTGACTTTACTGTCTTCATCCATTCTTCTTCAGGCAGGCAGCTTTCTTAACTGAAAGTCATCTCTACCATACAAAGCAATACTTACCCAAGAAAGCAAAATCCTTAAGGATGCAGGAATCTAAATGATCAAACATTAAGATTTTTGAAGCTGCAGTTGATAGCCTTTGAGCTCTTTTAAAAGGAAACAGACAACTTATGACCCTCCAGGTTTTGTTTGTTATACTCCACACATCAGCTCTCTCCAACATCTGTACTGGCCCAGGGCTGATGTGACTAACAACACCCAAAGGACCACAGGTTACTCATCCCTACTTTAAAAGACAGAACTTAAAACATTAAGGGATTCCTTCATCATGACCTTGCTGTTAAAATATGAACAAAGTTATATAAACACACTGGGTTTGTTTTTCTGTAGTCATAGTAAGGATATGATTCTCATTTATACTGTTGTCACATGCACTCTCTTGGCTCACATTCTAATGCTTTATCTAGCGTTTAAAAAAGAGATGCACTACGCTGTGGGGCAAATTTTGACAACTACTTTTTAAGTTGCTGAGCAAAAAGCACAAAAGCACATGCTGGCAGGGGGCTCCTGATAGCTTTATCCCCCAGATACAACATTTCCAAGCTTTGGGTATGTGTAGTATCAAAAGTCAAGAGGGAAGCTTGAACTCGAGGACTGACGGTCTCCATGAATATGAAAGGCTACCAGAAGGAAACAGGCAGAAGTCTGAAGGACCCAATACAACTTATGGACCAGCTATTTACACAAAGGGCTCTCAAGTTTAATTTGAACTAAATGGATTTCCTCTCACTCATTTATGCATTTGTAAATTTGAAGATCACCATCCTTTGCTCTAACCTCTCACAAGGGCTGGCAGGAGCCCTGAAGGTTCATTCCACCTCTGTATGTCCACAATCTTCCCTCCCTACAGATTAAAATCTCAATATTCAGATTGCAGAACACTGTAAACACAAGAGGCCGAACAAGATGCATGAAGCCAGGAGTGACTGCAGATAAGGAATGATAAAAGGAGGGAAAATGTGAGCGAGCACTTCAATCCTATGTAAGAGGGAAAGGCCAGACATGCATGCTCCCCTTCCTATAACAGAGACATATAGGCTCTGTTTGCTGCACTTTCAGGTTTTATGCAATGCAACTGGATTTACCAATCTTGGCTTCTCAGGAATACCTGTTGTCTATATCCTGTAGGTTGGATCCAAAGATACCTTCCTTCAGATCAAAGCACACTTTTCTCCTTCAATTAAAGAAATGGTCTTTGGATTCAACCTACTCTATATTTATAGATTCCCACGTGCCATAATGATGTGTGAAATGTCCCTCATATTCTGCTCAGTTTAAATAATTGTTGCTTGCTGAACTGGGAAACATAATCATTTTGGGACTTTCTCCAGTTTCTCAAACAGTTGTGGAAACAGGGAAGGCAGGTAATTTAAGCCTGGCATAAGATATATGTTTTGATAGAAGGATCCTAGGTTGTACTATGAAGAAAACAGATTCGGACAAGCACGAAGTACCACAATTTCCCGTTTTAGCATGCACATGAAACAAACCAGATCGGCAACCTACTGTACTTGCCTTTTCAATGGGGACAGCCAGTAAAAACAAAAAAGGAGCGCGAATAATGGATTATTTATGTTAAGGTGCTTGTTAATACTGGATATCAAGGGGAGTGGGAATTTTGCAGCATTAATCTGCATATTAGACACTACATCTGGCACTGATTGGAACGAATGAAAATGCAGAGTGCTTGATCTCAGCCTTCAGCTATATTGCTGGTACTTTCAAAAGAAAATGGAAGGGCGTGTTGTCAGCATTGGTGGAGGGGACTCCATCAGATCTCATTACTAAAAACGCTAAGGTAGTAGGGCAATGTCAATAAATAAATCCAGTGGGGCTACTAGAAATTTGCTTTAAAAAATGGAATCCGGAAAAAGGAAAGGAAGCAAGACATCATCCATTAAAAGAAAGTACTGCAATTTGCAGTAGGTTTTGTGACCTTTTGGGCATAAGGCATGGATTTTATTCCGACAGCTTCTGAAGCTGGGAGGGTGAAGTCCCCCAGAGAACTCTGAAGCTAGTTTAAATGCAGAGAGAAAAGACAGTGTGCGAAATGCTAGCGTCAAATCAGAGCGCAGCACCATGATCTCATTCGGCTCTTTGTCTTAGGCTTTTGGCTAACTGGCGTATCTTTTTTTGTGACTGGTGCTTGCGTTACCACTGACTCCTTCTCTTTGACATTTTCCTGTTTCTTTAGCAGTTCCTCCTTTTCTACTGGCTCCTCATTCACCCGCTTGTGCACACCTGAGGAATAATGGGGACTCTCCCAGCCGGTCATAACCAAGTCATCGTCCTCATCACTATTACAGTGGAAGACATGCTTGGGATAGGCAGCAGGCTTCAGGGACTTTGGAGAGCGGACACTAGTAGGCTGGAAAGGCAAGGCATTCTGTCCTCTGCGTCTGCATTCCTCTGCCAAAGCTTCATCGTCAGCTACACCTGAAGAGGGGAAAAAGCAGACTATTCAAGAAAGAAACGAGCGGATAACTCAAGCTTTGCGTTCAATGGAAAAGTGAACTAGTCAGAAGCAAGCAAGTCTGTAAACCAATCTTAGTTGTTGTTTTGGGCAAGTCACTTAAGCTCTTGATACTTCCATTTCTCCATGTGTAACATGCCAGTAGGTCTCTGTCCTATGGGCATCTCTGTGTCTTCCTGTATCAACAAACAATGACGACATTGCTACTTATTATAGTGAGCTAAGAAAAACAGCTACTGATCTACATATAAATCAATATTTCAAGCAGCGCAGGGCTCCAACAACACCACAATCTGCACAAAGGAACTACCATGTCCTCCACATTTTGAAGGAATTTATACAAGTGCGTGCTTGCTCTTCCATTTAGGTCATATCTGAGCTCAACAGGTATGACATTTCATATGTTCCACAGTCTGAATAATATATTGGAACATCAAGTTTCTGCAAGAAGGATTCCTCTGGGAAATTCTGCCACACAAAGTTCACAGCAAGATTTGATCAACTGACCTACTGTCTTGAATGTTCAGAAACCGTATCAACAAATCAGTCATTTAACTGTTGAGCTAACCGCAGGCTCCTAAAGAACATAATTAACTAGGAGACAGCAAAAGTACTTTGGTAATAGTGAAGAGCTAACTATGGTGATTGTTAAAAGTAAAGATTAATACGGAAAGCATGCACTGGGAAAACTAGATTTGCTGGACATAAGTCATGAGGCAATACAGTAAGTTTGGATGCTATGTGTTTTATGCAGAAATATAAGCTTCCATTTATAAATCCCTATATATTCAGATTTTTAGTTGCAATGAATAAAGGAAGTGTGTAGGCAATATTTAGTAGTGAGGAAAATGCTTTCAGTTTTCTTCCAAAAACCATTTACAAGATGTGATTGTGCACTGCAGGAACACAGAAACTAGTGGGAGGCAGTAGCCCTCTAAATGAGGATATCGCACCCAGTGGGATGAGTAAGACTGAAATCCTGAAATAACTGCTACATCAGTACATTCCTGTCATTCAATAAGCTAGCAGAGGCAAGCAACTTTGAAAGCAAAAGTAAAAAATGATTACTCATGTAGGCATGATAAAAAACCAGGTTTCTGATAGGTGTGTTCAAAGTTCCTTCTGGAAAGGAGTGCAAAAACTTAAAGTACAAAAGCAAATAAAAGCACTTCTGTACAGTTCCTTTCTTAACCAAGTTCCACCTTTAAAGATGCCATTAACATTGATATCATCCGGAGCACAAAGAGAACTACACGAACTCACAAATTCATGTCTGAATGCAAATATGAACAGCTGCTGTGTTCAATGGACACATATTCGGGAGTAAGCAACAGCCCAAGTTTCAAGGGCCCTTAACAGATCTCAGAAGAAGATAATGGGTAAGTTTTTCAAAAACCTGGTGGTTAGGCAGGTTGAAAAAAGCTTTGAGGGGAAGTCGTGTTTTAATTGCATTGAACTGCATTATATGAGTCTACACTGACCATATAATGCAGTTTGAAATTGCATTATATGGCAGTGTAGATGGGGCTTATATCTTTCAGGATCCAACCAGAAATTTCCCTTGTGTGAGATGCAGAACATCAAAGGAGAGAAATTGGGCCTGAATTTTCCCATAATTCCTTCCGATTACGACACCACAAACGATAAACAAAAAAAACTCAGAGGCTACTACTTACTATTAGGTATAAAATTCGCAAGGGACAAGCCATAAGATTAAAGAACATGACGATTGTCCTAAATACAGATGCCTCCACCTAAAGGACAACTCCAATTTTCATGTGTGAACCCTGTAAAACTTTACCAAGAGATAAACATCAAAAGAAAATGAAAGAGGTACTGGAACTTCTTACACATTGTTAATTATGTTTAATAGATAGTTATTAAGCATGGTGTCATTCAAGGTGGTGCCCATTCTGTGCATGTTTTCCCAATTGATTCATGCATGAGTTGGTTAGAATGACAAGAAGACTGAACACAATTAATGACTGGGAAGTATTGCAGGGGAAGTACTGCACTTTGAACCAGTGTTAAGAGTTAGCTCAAGGGGATGAGAAATCCATAGTACTACTACTTATTATTTTATTTATTTATTTACAGCATTTCTACCCCACTCTTCTCACCCCCGCAAGAAAACCCTCTTAAAGACTCACCTCTTAGACTTTCCCTGACTGTGCAGCCTAGTCTGAAATTTGTATTTTAAATATATATTTAAGATTATATTATGAACGTTCGCCTTTAAATATATATATTTTTAATTTTAACATTTTTGGTGTTTTTATGGGGTTTGTATACTGCTTTGACATTTTTTTCTGTTAATTTGATTGATTATTTATGTGATCAGTTTATATATTAATTCACTGACTTGCCCAAGAAATGTTTTACATTAGTTGTTTAGATGGTTCAGGAAGTCCTTGGCTTAAAGACAGAAAATGCACAATACATGTCATTCTTTATTAGTTTGTGGATTACACTGTGTTGCAATGTACACTGCTTAAAGCCCATCATGATAGGTCAAGTCATTGTGTTGCAATTCTAAACAACAGCAGCATGATCATACCAGACAAAATGGCAATAATTCAGGGGATTTCCAATTGCTTGGAAAATAAGAAAGTTATATGTAAAGATGTATTGTCGAAGGCTTTCATGGCCGGAATCACTGGGTTTTGTAGTTTTTTTCGGGCTATATGGCCATGTTCTAGAGGCATTCTCTCCTGAACATGGCCATATAGCCCGAAAAAACCTACAACAGCCCTATGTGTAAAGATTATTCTGGTGCGGAACTGTTGCTTCTATATACCATGCTAGCTAATTTTAGATCCTAAAAACAGGTCCTAGGACAAATCAAGGCTGAACTCTCTCAAGGAGAGTTTTATAATTTGACGGTATCACCAGATGGCACTGCTCATTAGAAAAGACAAATCTCTGAAGCAAAAGAAAAAGAGAAAGAGTACATTATAGATGGGTGTAGACACAACGAAATCACAATCCTGACTGTGCCAGACTCATGGCTGCTGGTTGCAGGATATCATGGAGATCTCTTATTTATAGGGTTGCCATTAATTGTGACCAAGAATTGTACAAGGGTATGGTTGTTCCTATTGTAAGAAGTGGGGAAGTGGAATAGTTCCAGGATCAGTGTTTCATGGAGAAAGAAACTGCACCTCATTCTATTCCCGATGGCACTGGACAGCACTGGATTATGGCAAATATCTCTAACCTCGTACATTTTCTGTGTGTTGTCATCCCTAAGCAAGAGCAATAGCCAGGCTGGTCAGAGATGAGATTTGCAGTCCAATACAGCTGAAGGGAAATCTGCTCTAAGTGAAGATGACACCGATGCTGCACTTTTTGGACCCATCTCCAAGAGGGGCAGCCAACTAATCTGAAGAGGGACGGAGCAACACAGCAGTCATCTTTCCCCTCTTAATGCCTGGATGCTTAACACTGCCTGAGGGCCAGGACTGCAAAAGCATGTGCAAGGTATTTTACCCAGGATAGTTTACTGAAATTTATATTAAATAAAGGTTTGTGCTGCCAAAGGTGTGCCCTTAGGCTTTAATTCATATTTTATGAAGCAGCCTAAATCACAGAAGTGAATTGTAGTATTTTGTAGAATCACAAGAATGTGAATTAGCTTCGTGTTCTTTGCACGTAAAGCAAACACAAGCTCAAAATCCAAATCTCCTTATGTTATTCTGTTTGAACATAATCCTCTTATCTTGAGAAGTAGGCACAGAGTGTGTGTATGTGCAGAAGAGGTTTTTAAAAATGAGATATATATTCCAGCCGGTAGAGAGCAGTAGCGTACAAGGAGAAAGACCAACAGTGAAGTCATCTTTCAACGGTTTGATAGGAACATGGAGTTTTTTTTAGGTATGTCTAATAAAAGGATAAAAGGAGTGTTGACAAGGCAGTGCATCTGCTGAGGATGCCAGTTTCAATACTACTGGGAATCCTCCATTCTCATAAGCAAAACTGTATACACATAAATTCTTCTTTATATACTTTGGAAAGCCCAAAAGGTAGTTAGCAACCTATCCTTATTTTGTAATAACGTGTGTCCTCGAAGGGCAAACAAAACAGGTATAAAGTATGAGAACTGATGGCATGAAGAAAGGACTTGATCTATCATAGATCTAGCAGTGGATACTACAGTTTATAGTCATATGAAATCACATTATGCACCTTCTAAATCAGTGGTTCTCAACTTGTAGGGTCCCCAGATGTTTTGGCCTTCAACTCCCAGAAATCCTAACAGCTGGTAAACTGGCTGGGATTTCTGGGAGTTGTAGGCCAAAACACCTGGGGACCCACAGGTTGAGAACCACTGTTCTAGATATTGAGAAAGGCTACAAGAAACAGCTGTCATCAGATCCACTTCTGATTTGTTTCATATCACTGCTGAAGACAAAGAATGTGGGACTAGATGCCTCTTGCTCCAAGGGGCATATACTACTCTCATGTCCTCTCCAAGTGCTAATACTTCTCAAATGATGACACCAAAGTGGATCAAGTCTGTAATTAACATATATATACCAATAAAGTTGGTCCTGGGTAAATGGATCTCTTACGTATGTATCTATAAAATGTTTACTGTGGATTTTGAGGCTATATAAACTGTGTGTTTGGCATGATAGAGAACAGACTTCCCTTTCTAAATGGAAACAAGCTACAAAACAGGAAATCCTGATGTGTGTGTTTGGTTTTAATGCACAAATGTTTCAGTATGCCCATGGTATCCTATGCATCTTTAGACATAGGGCTGATGTGATCAGCATTGTACAGGATCAAGTCTGGAATCCATTTCACAAAACAGATGCTACTTATTTCTGTGTGCGTATACCAACGGCTTACAGAGAAGATATTATCCAACTGCCAAGCTCACACTCCCTGGATTATTTTTAGCACTGGCAGTAACTGACTTTCAAAACAGAGTTCCCATCAACATTACTTGGGGAGCGGC